ATCGTAGAATTATTTAATAAAAGCTAATTTATTCTAATTAAAATAAACAGCAATATTTTAAAATTTTACAGTATAATCTAAATATTTCCCTTTTTAATATATAGTAACTAAAGTATTTTTTATTATTTAGTTTTTATTAATATCTTTAAATACCTTTTTTAATTTAGAAATATATTTACTATAATTATTAAAAATTTCTTAAATTTATTTTTTAGCTCCTTTAACTAAGCTTTTTAAATAGTTATTTAAAATAAATCTAAACTATTTTAAAGCAGTCCTTTTTAAGCGTAAAAAGGTAAAACAGACTTTTTTTTTATCTATATTAAAAATATTTTTATAGTTTTTAAAATAAACTTTAAATTAAATTAAATATAAATAAAGTTCTTTAATATCTTTTTTAAACACTAGGGGTAATTAACGTTTAATAAGAATTCCAATGTTAACTATTTTAAGTTTTTCTTTATTAAGTTTATTAACTAAAACTTAATTAAGTTAATATATATTTTAAATAAGTGCAGAGAGTTCTTTATTTTTAAATATAGAGATATTAAATAGATCTTTTATAATAATATTTTTTTTATTATTAACTATAAATATATTAAAATCGGTAGTTTTAATAACTAAACTAAATTTAAGTATAGTAGTTTCTTTTACTTAAAAGATAGTTAGTATTTTTTTAAATAAAAGTTATTAACGTATAACGTTTTAATCTTTATTTTTAATATAGGGTAAAGGTTCCTAAAGTAATAAACTTAAGTTATAGGTTTATATTAATAAAAAAGACAGGGAGTAGCTTTTAAGCAGTTATAATTATAAATATATAAAAGCAAAATAAAAAATATAATTTATATTTAATTTTAATACTTTATTAACAACTAGCTATTTAATTATCTAAATAAAAGTAATAAATAAAACTTATATATCCAGTCGTTCCTTTTAAATTATATATAAATTACAGTATTCTTAAATTATAATAGATTACAGTAGTAATCTATCAAAGGTATTATATATAAGCGATCCCATCTTAATTAGTTAATCGGTCTAGGACTTATTCTAGGGTATATACTTTCCTAGCTTTATAAAAGGTTAGGTCGTAATATATATATTACTAAAATTAATATTAATTTTTATTAATTTAACATTAATTAATATATTAGTTTTATATTTATTTAAAAATATTTAATTAATAAGTTTATTATTATAATTATAAAAGTTAAATTATAATATTTTATTTTTATAATTAATTTTAATATTTAAACTTTAAAATTTAATTAATTAGTTTTTTATTTTTTATTTTTTATTAATCTAAAGTAATTATTTAAATAAAAATTATTAATATATAATAAACTAAGTTTTATAAATTAATATAAATTAATTATTCCTAAAGGATAAACTTATAAATTTTAAGTTTATATTTATAATAAATTAATTTTATAATTTTATATAAATTAACTATTTTTAAAAAATAAACCTTTAGGTTTTTAATATATATTAATAAAGTAATTAAATTAATTATAAATATTACTTTATTAATATTATATAGTTAATAAAATAATAATTTAATTTAATTTAATTACTATATCAATAATTAACTATTTAAACTGTTTAAGTAAATATAAAAATATAAATTTATATATTTACTTAGTTAAGTTAAATTATTACTTAAGTTTAACAATCCCTTTATAAACCATTTTAGGAGTTTAATAATTTATATATAAATTATTAAATTATTTTAATAATTGAATAATATATTTTTAATTAATTAATTAACTTATTATTTATTTAATACTGTTTACTTAAGAAATTTATTATTATAGCTATAAAATAAATAAAGTTTTTAACTTAAATTTATAATTTAATATATTATAGTCTAGTAAATAATTAATTATTATAAAGTTTAATTTTAAATATCCTAAGAAAATAAACATTTAGTTTTATTATTAACTATATATTACTTAAAAAGATAAATAGCAATAATTAACTTTTAATTCCTTAATTAACTTACTTTAGTTATATAACGTAAATAATAGCTAAAGTATAATTATTACAATTTTAATTAATAATTATTTAAACAGCTTAAATAGTTTAATTAAACATATCTTAAGCTTTATATCTTTATGTAAACTATATTGTAATATTTAATTATTATAAATATTATTTAAATATAATCTGCGTTATTTACAGTTAATAAAAGCTTTATTAATAAGGAAAGCAAAATTTAATTAATTTAAAGTTATTTTACACTTATAAAAGTATTAAATTATAATATTAATTTATAATTTATATTAAAGTATATATAAAATTAAGTTATAATAAGTTTATAATTTATTATAACCTTTTATAAATAAAGTAATTAATAATAGTTAATTTTTTTAGTACTAACCCAAATTCCGCTACTTAGTCTCAACTACCCTTCCTACTATATCTATCACAACATTCATAATACTCATAGTTCTCTGGTACTCCGTATCCAGGTTGATACTCGCCTGCACCAGATTGTTCAATCTGTCCTGTATGAGGGTTTGGCTGTAGATTGGGTTATCCAGATACTGCAAGTCGCCCCCTAGCATCTTAACCGCCCTTTCTAATTCTTTATCTCCCATACATGTAATGGGCTGTCGCATTACCTGCACAATGTAAACCAATGCCAGGATGGCCTGGGTCTGACGGAGAGACACAAGGACTCCTTCCAGGGCGACCCGGCCGTCACTAGCCCTATTCTTAGCATCACCAAGCGCGACAAGCGCTTTGCTCTTCTCCCGGTACTGATAAATTGTGCTAAGCCCTGAAGTAGCAGTACCTCCCACCCCGACAATCTGGCCTGAGACAGCAATACCATTCGGCGTGAGGTTTTGGGCTAGTGTAGTGGTGAGAAGGTCGGCGAGCTCTGGGTTCCAAAAAGCCAGGGCGGCAATTACTGTGAACCCGAGCGTAGCGATCCCTGCGCGGTAGAAGTTTTTTTCATGATGGCTGGCTCTTTCGTTCCACTTGCCGATTTCTTCGTCATTGAAGCTCACAATGGCTTGTTCGTACTCGGAGAGATGAATTGTAGCCTGGCGCAGGTCAAGTATCGTTCTGACGATGCCCTGATTCGTGAGGCCTGATGGATATGTTAGCCTTGGCTATGAAGGCTCAGAATTTAGGGACTTACCCTCTCCGCTTGATAATTTTTCGAGTCTGGGTTTTAACCCGCCGGCGAGTTCGCGGAGCTTCTCAAATGAGGTTGATGCATTGCCCAAGAGAACGAGGGGCCCGCTACTAGTGGGTGTGTTCTCAGATGTGCTGTTCTTAGATGCGCCGTCCTCATCCGTGTTCTCCACCTTGGCCCGAATATTAGTACCGTGGCCAGGCATGTAAACGAGCCACTCACGTTGTCGAGCATATCATTCAACCAGGGCAGTTTGGACGAAAGCTGACTCAAAGTTTCCTTGGAAGTAGCGAGAAAATCTGTTCCCTCTGGGATCTTTGCGCCCTGGGAAGCCATGTAGGCGAAGATCAACGACCCTAATATAGGGAGAGAGTTGACCCCTGCCTGCAATCTGCTTCACGTCAGTGGCTAGCCCGCCTAGGATAGAATCCATGCTCACATCTTCATTATGGTGTCCTCCTGGCGGACCACTGCGGGCTTGATAAACCGTTCGAGCCGAAGCTCCAGCGGAATAAAGAAGAAGCTATGTGCATACTTCATCTTGATGTGCATTTCTGTCATCTCTTCACCGTTGGCAACTGCGTAGATATTCATCGCGTGAGGTGGGCTTTGTATTTTAGAGACGAAGTAATCGTATACAATCGGTGGAGCGAACTTCTTGAAGACATCACGAACCCCAGACTCGGGATTCCCCTGGGGGTTGTTGTACGTGGCGACGACGTGTATAAAGTCGACCTTCCAAGTCAGCATCCCTGAAGTAGTGCATTTGACTAAAGCGTAAATGAACCCACCTCCACCGGAACGTAGTCATCTCGAATCGAGATACCATCGGGTTCGACCACCTCAGCCGGGTGAGGAATCCAGTGGTTGCAGTCCCCGAGAGCCTCGGGGGAGAACAGACGGGCAAGCCCGTCGTTGAACTCGGGGCATCGTCCCCGCTCGCTGTAGTGCCAAACCTGCAGACGGACAGTGACCCGTAGATCCTGCCTGGAATCGTACCCGAGATCTGTCGGGGCGTTGGCCTCCATTGCTGGCGGTGTGAACGAAGCACAGGGCAGAGTCAGGCCAGACTTCGCAGGAGGTTGGGTTCCGTAATCTGGAGGGAAACAACAGGAGCTTACGGCTCAATAAGAGACCGGGACGCGGGATTTATCAATTCTAACCCAGGGAAATCAGGCTCTCGGAAAGGGGCGCCAAAGAGACAAGGCAAAGCGGCAACTGATACTGCCAGAAACCGCCTCGTTGGGGGCCGGCCGGGAACATGGCCACTTCCAACGAATGACGTGTCTCAGCGCAACTACATTGAGAGGGGAATTTGTCATAATGTGCAACCTTGGCATGCACTTTGCGACATGAGCTGAACACAGTACTTTGTCTTGGTTGTTGTCTACGATTACAGGGGGCATAACCAACCAGCCAATCAGGGCAGATGGTGGCCTGCTGACACAATCTGGCCTCAGGCAGACAATCTTTGTCTTCTGTTGGTCGGACAGGGCCTTGAGAAGAGTTAACTCAGCCGCACCCAGAAAATATCAGGCTATGGCCGCATCTTCCAACTAAATCTCCATAGCCATCAACACCAGAGGGGGCAGGATGGATCAGAACAGTTACGCAGCGGACGAGAGTACCGCTCTCTCTAGCTCTCGCCAGCAAACAGTCGGAGCCAGAGGGACCTCGGGTGTGCCGTCCTGGAACGCAGTCTCGGCGAACCAGAGCGGCTGCGATATCTTTGAGCTGTTTGAGGTTTACAGGCGATCGGCAAACCGCTACCTAAACCAGTATTTTGAGTGCCTGGATCGCCTTCCAGCCTCTAGTACTGAGCTCAACGCGCATAGCCGGTCGCAAGGTACGTTTCTCCAGGATACCTGGGCTTCGGATGCTTGACTAACTGACTCTCAGAAGTCTCCACCCGCGAGGGCTCCGAAGCAGAGAGGAATGTCTGGCTCTTGAAGATTTCGCATGACAGCGCGGTGCGGGACCTGACAGTGCTGGACGAGATCCTTGACAAGGCCAAGGAACAAGAGAGGCCTCCAGAGAGAACCGTCTCTCCAGGCGTAGCCGCATGGTAAGGTTTCTTCAAGCCTTGTGGCCTCTCTAGCTGATACCAAGCCTAGGACGTTTGCGTGCTCCATTCTTGCCTTTACGGTGCCGCATAAAGTATCATCTGCTATTTTCAAAGTCGGTGCACTTGCTGGCGCTCTACTCTTCACATTTCGCCTGATTCGGAAATCGCCGCGGGTGAGCAAGCTGGGCCCTGTTCAGCACAAGATCCAAGGGCTGATCCGGTCGTTTGAGGAGGGGACGATGCGGCACCGGGATCGGGGTGAGGTCTTGGTCTCACCGTTAGACTCGATCACGAGGCGCTAGGCTCTGCTTTTGGCAGACCGGCGAGGGGTTAGATACCTTTGTTTTGTTCTTTGCTTGTCGAGCCGTTGCTTTCAAGGACCTCAATGAGCTCTCCGGCGCCGATGAACGCTCTTGAACACGTTGGCTCCGGAGACCTCGGGGTGAATGCTGAAGTTACTGTTCATGCTTCGTTAATTCTGCGCCGATGCTGACGAACCTATCTCACGTAGTAGTGTTCGCTGCTGTGTTCCCTGCATTCTGAGCGGTATTTGGACTTGATGTATCATAGAACCTTTAAAAAATAATTTCTTTCATTCACTCACCTTGACGAAACACGGTAATCTGACAGCCGACTCGACATGGTGTCCAATGACGCAGCGGTATAGGCCCAGATTTTCTTAAAAGCAGAACTGGTGTGGCTTTCTTCCAGTGCCTGCAGCTAATTGGAAGTGTATCTACATGCTGGTGATCTTCCGACTGAGCTCCTTCACCAAAGCTCACAAGTGGGCCTCTTAACAGGGCAGTCAAAAGCCTTTCTAAACTCGGCCGAGCTGTGTAGCGTGTACATGATCCGCGCATCATTGGAGCTATGCGTGTCCGTCAGCAACTGGTGTCGCTTTCCCATTTCTCCCAGGCTGCGAAGCCCGAAACTACGCCACCGGCGTCGGCGATGTTCTCGCCGAGGGTCTGGACCTGAGTTCCGTTCGGCGCCGTGATCGTGAAGTTGCTATACTGCTCGATGAAGCACGCAGACTCATTGCTGAAGGCCTCAAGGGAGCTTTCGTCCCATCTGTTCGTCATGTTGCCGCTCGCATCGTAAGCTTGATTACAAGGCCATCCACCGATCCATGGTGATGCATGCTAAGTCATCCCCCACCTTGGCAATCGGCCGAAAATCCTTCTGTGACGGCCGCCGACTTCCCTTGCTTGCTATTTCGGTTTACAGCCGTGCCGCTGTCGATGTTACAAAGAAAGGTGCCATGTTTAGACATTTTATCGAGCAATTGACCAGTCGGTTAAAGTCTCGCCTACGTTCACACCAGATTATTGGTTGCTAAGGCCAATTCGGGCGGGCGGCCTGTTGGTCTGCAGTAAGCAATAATGAGCCAAAATCCACCCTGCAATGGTCCACCTGCGATCGGGTACAGTTCACCGTACCGCTCTGTGTTTGAGAGGGCTTCTAGGCTAACCGTCTCACCAGCATTTAAGCCGCTGAGAATCTTCGTATCGTCACTTAGCTGCCGGTTTCCTCTTCTTATCAAACCGACACCAAGGCGCTGCACAGACGTTTCGTCGGGCTTTGGGAGGTGTGACAGCCATGACTGTCTACGCGCCGTGGCTGGCGCCAAGTTAGCGTAATGTCTCAAGGCTGAACAATCCTCGGCGGGACTGCGAGTCCAATTGGAGAAGCACGTCGTGCAGCTATACGAGAAACTTCTCTCGTATCAGGTGAAGAGCGCCTGCTTTTACCACCGCAACTGGGCTGCCGTGGCCTTGAGGGACGTGTTCCAACTAGATGACTGGGTTGGACAGCTCAGCGAGATCAAGGAAGCCGAGGCTGCCGTGCAAAGAGACATGGAACAACACAATACCGAAGAGAGCAAGGCACAATTTTAGAAACTCACCGAAACCGCAACTGCTCTAGAGGAGAATCTCCAAGAACATCCATTCAGCCATCCAGGACCAGACACGGCAGCAGGAGAAGAGATACCAGGACGACAGGGACAACCAATGCCTGAAAGACCTGCGCGAGACTGACCCTCGCGACGACAAGACGCGCATCGAAGCTACAAAAGACGGCCTGCTCAGGGGCTCATACCGCTGGATCCTCGACCATGACGACTTCTAGCGATGGCGCAACGATCTACAGAGCCAGCTGCTCTGGATCAAAGGCGACCCTGGCAAGGGCATGACCATGCTGCTATGCGGCATCATCGACGAGCTGGAGAAGGAAAATCGCCTGTCCTAATTCTTCTGCCAGGCCACTGAGGCAAGACTGAGTAACACGGCGGCTGTGTTGCGTAGTCTGATATATCTGCTCGTCGTCCAGCAGCCGTCGCTCATCTCGCATGTTCGGGAGAAGCACGACTATGCGGGTAAGCAGCTTTTCGAGGACGGGAACGCCTGGGAAGCCTTATCCAAGATCCTTGCAGCCATGCTCAATGACCCGATTTTGGACGGTGTTATCCTGGTTGTTGATGCCCTCGATAAGTGCGAGCTAAGGCGCGAACAACTTCTAGATTTTATCATGAAACCGTCTCGCGTCAAGTGGATCGTGTCTAATCGCAACTGGCAGGATATTAAGGAGAAACTCGGCCGTACAAAGCAGAAGGTCAGGCTTCAGCTTGAGCTGAACCAAGACTCCATCTCCAAGGCTGTCGACAAATACATTGGACGCAAGGTGGAGGAGCTGGCAGGCCTCAAGAACTACGACAAGGAAACAAGGGACGCTGTTAAGTACCACTTAACCTCCGATGCCGACGGCACCTTTCTCTGGGTGCCTTGGTCTGTCAAGAGCTTTCAAATCCCAAGGGGGTCCGAAAAACGCATACGCTCTCCAAGTTGAAGTCATTTCCACCGGGATTTGATCTCCTCTACAAGCGAATGATGGAACAAATGTCTAATTCGGATGATGCGGACATTTGCAAGGAGATACTGGCTATTGCTTCGGTCGTATACCGACCTATCACCCGCAAGGAATTAAAGGTTCTTATTGAGTCGCTCGAGGGGGACGACTACAATGACCTGCCAGAAATCATCAACGCTTGCGGTTCTTTCTTGACTCTTCGAGAAGGTTTCATCTACTTTGTGCATCAATTAGCCAAGGATTTCCTACTCAGCAAAGCGTTAGACCAAATTCCACCTTTAGGCGCCGCGCACCAGCACCATGCCATCTTCTTGAGGGTCGTTGGGGTCGAACAAAATTTATATTGGAATGGACAATGACGTTCTTGCCTTCTAGACCAAACGAGAACTGTCTGGCATCGGGAGTCATGTGCTCTATAGTTCCTTCACATTGGAAAACATCGGCCATTCTGTGGATGGAGTTTTCGTTTGGTTAATACTTTATTTTTGAGATAGAGGCTGGTGGTTGCAGATAGATACATCTTGCTTGTTGGAAGGCTCCTATTTTCTAGGTCCCGGGCTCTTATTTCGGTCGCGAGCGGAGGCTGGCTCGGCATCGAATGTACCCACAAACCCCGATGGCCGATTGTGGCCTTCGGGTTCTTGCATAACATGCTTGGAATACCTTTTATTCACCTATGAAGGCGCGGTTCTTCTCCATATGTCGACTGTGATGCTGTCTTATTGCTGAGGCCATAACCAAGTAGGAATAAACCAACCAACCGTGCCCATTCAGCTGTGACATCAAAGACTTCAGCTATGCCTAGGAGCCTCCGTTGTGAGAATCTTCTAGCGTACAAGTACCTGCATCAGACCTTCCTGGGACGGAGCGGTTTATGGGAGTATTTAGTACACCCATCGATATCCTATTGGGCTCAACGAAATAGCATCTACTATGAGTATCCGGCTACGGACTACAGTCACATGTGTAGAACTGAGGCATACGCCCTCCAGATCACCCGACTAACAACTACAAGCAATTGTGCACGAATATGACCTGGAATATCAAGAAACATTGTGTTTTGCAGCACACATTGGCTCAGTTAAGGCACATCCCACCCGTCCCAAAGGCCCCCGACCCAGAAGAGCATGATATCAAGTTCTCCCACGATCCTTGAGCTTCGTACAGTGGTGCACTTGCAGACCCGAGACACCTCGTTCCGAGAAACGTTGAGCAAAACGCCGACGAATTTCTGCCCACCTAAGCTGCTCCACTTCCTTCAGCTGTATGAAGAAGTTATCTTCATCACCTGTATACTTTGCCCGCCTTGCTAGAGCTCGCTTGGTTTGTTTTTTTTGTCGTGGCCGAGCGGATTGAATCTGGGATCACACTGGTGGCTTCGGAATGATTTGTACAAAGGGTCCATTCAAACTGCAATTGAAATGTCGTCTTGTCGCCCTCAGTGATGCGCTTTAGTAGGACGTCTCTGAGAGGCCATTCCTCGAATCGACGGAGAACCGTGCCATCCTCGGAAGGGACTGGTCTTGCTTGTGATGGTGTTGGACTCTCTATGCTGTATGCAGGCGTTTGACGCCCTCTCAGTAACTATGCGGTACATATTGTCGATTGACTTCGGGGAGAGCTTCGAATACTGGCGGGGTTGCTGTGGACTGAGGTGTGACGAGATCGAGATACCCTGCGACGCTTATGACCATACTGTTCATCATCGGAATCATCTCCAGAGCTGAGTCCCTCGGTTGTTGAGGACAGAGGGCAGCAGTCCCCGTCATGCACACGCCGCGGATCGTCGAGGCCATCCTAACTGCCATAGCCTTCAGTGTCTGCGCCATTGTCCTCCCCCCGCGCAACTGCATGCGCATGTGGGGATATGTGACGAGAACGGCGTGGGGACGGCAATTGTGGAGACGCCTGGGCCCCAAACGGCGATCCGGGTCCACCATCCGCAGCCTCAGACTCAGCCTCGCAGGACCCGCAGTTTGTTAATTGTTCCCGATGCGGTTCGGGAGATATCCTTGCTGCCAGGGATGAATTGCGGGCCCAAGGGTGGCATCGTCGGGAGACGTGCCCGCACACACTTCGCTGTGTAATAGCGCGTAGGCCATCTCTCCAGGAGTGGCAGCGGCAGTGCTGTGGGTGGTCGCTGAAGGGGACTCAGGAGAGCTCTGCCCTCCACGACAGGAACCTTCGTCCTAGAGGGCATCGATCGTCGTGATGCCCGGCTCGCTAGCAAGCCTGGTGATAAGCTGTTGTCAGTCCGACACAACCAGATATGGCTGGCTTTCGGGGCTGGCAGGCGAGAGGTCAAGGCTAGCATCTATACAAGCCGAAAATCCGCCAGCTGACGAGGGATTCGACTGGCTAAGAGGTTGCTGATTCAGTTCTGGATCAGCGGTGGGGTCAATGCCTGGGTCGCCTTCTATCCGGGCCGGAGATACTGCTGGTGTAGTATCCGTACCAACGCCGGCCTCTGACCCAGGTGGACACTGTTTGGTGCTTACAGTATCTTCACAGCGGCTGTCAGGTCTTACATCAGGCAAAAACAAGCGCGCAAGGAACTTACCTGACTGGCTCGTGATGGTAGTCGTTGTTGTATATATGTTAAAATATATGTTAATTAGCTTTAATTACTACTAATTATATAGTTAATATAACCTCTTTACTTATGCTTAGTAATTAAATTAACCCCTATATACTTAAGTATTAATAATTTTTATATTAATACTTTTATTTTTAATATTTTTATTTAATAATATAAAAAATTACTTTTATTACTTTTATATTTTTTTAATAAAATAGATATATATATTTTAAAATTAACTTTTATTAACTTTAATATTATTATAATTATTTAAAACTATTTAAATTAATTAAAAATATAATTTTATTTTTTTTTTAATTTTTTTATTAATATATTTTATATTAATAAATTTTTTTAATTTTAAAGTTTTATAAAATTTAAAAAAAAAAAAATATTTTTTAAATAAATTAATTAATTTATTTATTATTATTTAATTTATAAAAATATTTTTTATTTTTTATTTTTTTTATTTTTTTATAAATATAATAATATTAAATTTTTTATAAATATAATTATTTTTTAATTATTATAAAAAATAATTATTATATTTAATAATAATTTTATTATATTTTTTTTAAAAATAAATATATAATTTATTTAAAAGCTTTTATAATTAAATTACTTTTTTTATTATATTTATTTAAATTATATATTTAATTTTATATTTTAATAAAATAATAATTATTTATTTTTTTAAAAATTAATTATTTTTTTTATTTTTTATATTAAATATATAATTAAAATATTATACTTTAATAAATTTATAATTATAATATAAAGTTTATAAAATATATATTATAAATAAACTTTAATATATATAATTAATTAAAATAATATTTATTTTATAAAATTAAATATTAATAAATAATTATTTAATTAAAAATTATTTATTTTTAAAAAATAAATTAAAATAAATATTATATTATATATATTATTTAATATATTTATTTAAAATAGTTAAATAATTAATTATAAATTATAATATTTAAACTAAATTTACTTAATATTTTTTATTAATTAATAATATTATTAGTTATATTACTTAAATATTTAATTTAATTTATTTATTA